CAGTTGATGAAAATATTTTGTAAGTAGTAAGAAAGCAAAAAAAAAAATAAACAAAAGGAGTTTATACTTTCTGCCTGCCCCTCTCGCCAGATGTAGTTTCCGGCTATCTAAATGGCGCTCACCAGATTGCGCAACGCACTCATCTACTCGAAGAGTTCTACGCGATCATTTATAAGCGTGAGGAAACGCATTTGCTGGCTTGCAAAGTGCTGCGCAATTTAACGGAGAAAGCAGAAAGTAAGAAAGCTTAACTCTAGATAGCTTAAACAATCTATACTTACGTAAATATATTAACTTTTACGCCCCTGCTCAGTTTTGCTCTACATGCTCGACAAAACCGACTCTTTACGCAAACTCACACTCATTTTTAGACACGATCCTTGCACACCCTTCTATCCCAATCCATTGTGGGAACACCTTTGCCATTTCTTGGAGATTGCACCTCAGCTTGGCATAGCTTACGGTTGTTTCGAACTTCTGATTGAGCGCATCAAAAGTAGACGTCTCTTCTATCATGAACTCTGCATGAAATGCTTCGCTATGCTGCTGCGTTGTGAGGAGGGTCAGAAGCGTTTCGATAAAATTGATGGCGTCAAAATGCTCTATGACATAATCGCGGATGAGCAGCACAAATTGGATAATAATGAATACGTCCTGCTGGCGTTGCTGCATGGTTTGGTGAGCGATCGCGTGCTTTGGCGTTGTCGTGAATTTACCGTTCTGCCGAAACGCATTATTGCGCTGGCGAAGTCTAAGAATGCCAATTTGCAGTTGGTATGCCTCAAGGTCGGCTCCACAAAATTTCTATAGCGATTTCGAGGCTTTATAAGCTTTTATTTTTACACTTATTTCAGATACTTCGTCTCTTATGCGCAATGCCCTGTGTAAAAGCCTACATTCTTAACGGTTGCATGTCTGATATAATGTCTATTAAGTGTTTGAATGAACAGAATGAGTGCACGCGTGATTCGCTGGCGGAATGGTTAAACCGCGATATTTGGGATTCGAGCGAAATGTGAATTATAACATCATATTTTTTATTTGATTCCTGAAAATCTTTATTTTGGTTTTGTAAATCGAAGACCGTTTATACATATAAACCCATATTTATACCTTTCATGAGCATGAAATGGTATTATAACTTTGGTCCGATGTTTGTAAGTACCAGAACAAAAAGAGATAGACCCATTAAAATGTATACTTATTTGATCAGAACGTCGAGCTGAGTTGATTTATCCATGTCCGTCTGTCCGTCTGTCCGTCTGTCCGTCTGTCCGTCTGTCCGTCTGTCCGTCTGTCTGTCTGTTTGTATGCAATCTAGTCTCTCAGTTTTCGAGATATCCGGATCAAATTTGGTAAGTGGGTGTATTTTTATAATGTATTAATCATTTGTCGGAACCGGAAGA